TATATTTTTTTATTCACATGGATTTTTGAGCATTGGATAGGAAGCACTTGTTGTGCTTATGTAAATCCGCTGCTCATAAAACATAATACAAATGTAACATAAAGATGACATAAAGTATAACATAAACATAAAATGAAAGTCAAAGCTTTATATATAATAAAGTTTGTATATAATATTAGCAACAGTGGAGAAATTGCTTTAAATGCTGAGAACAAATAGAAAACTGTAATTAAGACATTTTGTTAACATGAATCCAGTCACTAATCATTCCTTCCACTGAGTGGTTTGTCCCAAGTCCTCAGATTTCTGTTACCTGTTCTATTTCCAGTTTCTGTACAAGAATGTGTCAGCCACAAACCAGGTGGAACTTTTGTGTGGATGCCAATTGCATTTCATTAAGTGCAGGTTTTGGAGTGGTTCCTCTGGGGATTAATTGCTTTATCCAACATTCCAGGCTGTAGCATGTTCTAGCAGCCATTAAAAGCACTGCAGTTGGAACCTTCTTTAATTATTAAAGCTGTGGGAATTTAGGCTGAGGCAAAAATCTTCATGCAATGTCAATGGAGATATAAAGAGAGCATGACTGATGGAAATCAGTTGCGGCCAGAAATCACTTAAAGATAGTAAAGAATGTAACAGTTGGCACTATGAAGGGAATGTGTGCTACTTAAATACTTGTTTCATCATAATTTGACTGTATCTTTCAAGTAATTAATTTTTCTTTTTTCCTAAGGTAATTAGTGTTACATGTAAAACATGTAAAACAAAATGGATTTTTATTTGCCTAAGAAACAATTGAGTCCCTGGTTCACTTTACAGTCTGAAAGCAAAACAAACATGATGTAAATTGACACTTGTCTTGCACAATATGCTAATGTAGTCACTGTTACCTTTGAAAACAGTGATGTTCCTCTTAACAGTACAAGACGAATATTTACTCCTTTTCGCAAGCTGGCACCCAGCATTTACATCCCTTTTTTTTGCATGAACCACTATCCTGGGTCAATATTATCAACATGCTTTACTGGTTGGGTTGGTTTTTGGTGGGGCTTAATTGACCCCAATGGCCACAGTGACTTGACATAACAGTTGTGTATTTGTTGGTAGAATTTCAGGCAAAATTTCGATGTACTTGGGACAATCTCAGCAATCATTTTACATTGTATCATTGTTGCGTTCATGACATTTCACTGCTTGAGTAGTGTTTTCAACTGCAATCTTTACAACCTGCGACATTTGGTTGTGGATGCCATCACCGGAAGTTGGTGTGACCCCTTTCTCAGACCTGCAGTTTTCAGGCAACAAACGACTAAACTAGTGCAACAACAACAGTACTCACCCATCCTTGTCAAAAGCGCGGAAGCACAGCTCACATTCTCGTACATTTTCAGCAGTAGGCTTGCGGAAAACCTCCGTTTTCCTGTAACGTTCAAAAGACGGCGTCTGTGCCTCTCCCATGTCTGCTGACTGACCCTGCAGCTGACGATCGATTCAGAATGTATCAACAACGTCACACGTGACCTGTGACCCGGCTGGGACCGTTGCCAGGCAACGGGCAACGCCCTCGGGAGAATTGGTGCTACAGGCATCCAAAGCAATTTTTGGGCGGCAATATGAAAAGTATTCTGGATGAGAAAGTCTATCTGGTATTGACATTTACTCTACATTTCTTCATACTTGAAGCGTTTGAAATAGCCCCAAACCAAGCTTCAAGGAGCATTCCTTTTATATTTTGGTGTTAAGATGATCAGTTTGCTATGGTTCAACTTACTACACTTAACAAAATGACAAGAAAATCGACTTTGAAAATCTAGTTATACTGCTCTGGAATAGCTTCGGCTGCTTTAACAGTAACAAGCATGTTAACCTGTGTATGGATGGTGTTCAGCACCAGGGACAGGCATGTTAACCTGTGTGTGGATAGTGTTCAGCACCAGGGACAGGACAAGAGATTAATAGCTATATAGGCACACATTGATTGCACAACTACACTCAGATTTGATTCTTGTGTATTTTATTCTACAAGTAAACCATTCTTCTATTTCAATTTCAAACTGTATACAATCAAATTTCATTTGATAGCAATACCAATATACACATAGGACTACCCCTACTTACATGTGGACGGCTATGGAATGGTCCATTCTTCCATATGGGGAGAGCGCAAAGTGAAAAAGCCTCATTGTACATTTATATGTAAGATACATGAATATGATAAACAAAGGATGGCTTAATGCAAGGCAAATGGCAGACTATTCCATTTGAACTTTTTAGTGGAGTGAGTTGGAAAAGTTTACGACTCTTCTCAACCATCCATGTCAAGTGTATTAAAATGCATGCTTCCTTTGACCACACTTTCAACATCCACCCCTCCTTAAGCAGTTAATGGAATAGCCCAAATTTAAATTAACATTTGTGTAATGTAAATACATTAGTGACATCATTAGCTCAATTAACAACATATAATCATGTCAATAAAACATAACACATCTACAACATAATGACTGTATTTCTGATACTTCACTTTTAGTGGTTCTACTCAGTTCTTATGAACACACAAAGAAAGGAACAAACTGTGATTCAGATTTAATAGCAAGTTGGAATGATGGTAAAAACTTCACAGGAAGTCTGTCATGGTTTATGTTGCATCAGTGGCAAAAGTCATTTTTAAAATTAATGCATGCATGCAAAGGTCCACCTTAACAGAGCTCAAGAGAATTAGAAAAGACACCTTGTAGAGTACATGTCTGCCATGCATATGGCCTCTGTTGGTCACTATCTGCCAAGGCAACAAAATTTCACTTCCATTTACCCTTTTTGGCAATGTTCAAAAAGCCCTAACATTTTTGGGCCAGATATTCTTTAGATATTAACTAATTGAAAGTGATTACAAAATCTTTTTATAACCTTTGTCTTGGTTGAATTTTTCATAATTTGTGCACCACATGCAAATATTTGTCTGATCCCATTTTGCATCAATAAGATGTGATAATTCAACAACTTTGACAGAAAATAAGCCTGAAAACAAAATACAGACACATCTACAACACCTATGTGTGGCCTTATACTCTGATTGTAAAAAGCATTAGGAATCATTGCACACTTTCCTGTTGTTATATACAGCACAGAACTAATCATGGTCTTGTCTACATTTGTCATTTCAACTAAGAATCAGTAACGATAAAAGGAACACACACAATAGATTTTTACATCTACTTACTACTTACAAGATGTACACACAATAGGGATGTTTTTTAAACCTGTTTGCGAGGGCTGACAACTTGAAAAGCAATAGAAATTTGGAAATGTGGGGATGTCAGCTGCATGCTGATAGTTAGAGGTTATCTGAACACACTTTGTTTTTATGACAAATTTTGCATCCTTTGATGTTTGGAATGGAGTAGGAAATCTGGGTCTTCTTATAATCAAAGACTAGCACCAAAGAAAGATGAATCTGTCAACACCATATATGTGCTGGTACATGTAGTACTTATGGCCATGCTGTCTTTTGGTTACAAGTGGTTATTCGAAACACATTGGCTGAAAAACTCCAGGACCTTGTTTGCATCTATATCTTGGGTAAGGTAACCAGAATAGCATATTCAATGTATAACACTTGTCTAAATATACAATATTCCTGCCTATGGGGCATCTATGTTTACAAATGACTTGTACTAGGTACACTATAGATTTATGAACAACTACATTCTCTGCATTGAAACGTGTCCCTAAATAAATTTCGAAAAACCAGCATTGCATATTGTTTCTGTCATTTCTACAACACTAATTACAATGATGCCTGTATCAAATCATCAGTTAGCATTCATCATAGTTTCATCAGGTTGGAAAATCACTGGAACTTCAGTATCCATCGGTTAGCAGTGTACATGTATGCTTAGTGGTCTGTTTTATATGTTTCTAACATAGTCATACTAGTATACATTGTGTGTATCAACAGGTCAAACTATATAAAACTACCTTCTGGTGACTTATCTGTATCAAATTCCTATTTCCATGTGACAAGGTTAAAAATCCATTCAGATTTATAGGAGATTATGGCAATTATCACCTGTCAAACTACTGTCAGGTCTGTGTCTATCTCTCTACAACTAAGAGAACTAATTTTGCTTTTAGTTAAAAAACCATTGGCACATTTAAAAAAGAAAACAATTTCATTACTTCTCAAAGGTGACAGTGTCTACACTTTTACATAAAAATGAAGTTTTATTTCTCTTGTATGCTTTTCTACCTTTGCATTGATAATTTTAAGGAATAAATATGACAGAACTAATTGCTCACCAAAACTCAACATTTTTTTGTTAAACTAGATATTACGATGTTATTTTTGTGAAGGCAAGGTCAGGTCAGAGGTGAAAGGTTGAGGTACATGATTGTGTGCTGTAACTCACTAGATATGAAAAAAAAAAACACAGTGGAGTGATTATAATTGTGATATAATGCACTGGGAAGTTGCATTCTCTAGTTACATGTGTGCTAGTATCTTGGTTCTCTAATTGCCTCAGCAATTATACTGTTGATAGAGATCTCTGCTCTCCCACAAAATGTAGAGCATGGTGATAGTTTAGGTTTGGGGTGAGTGAAACTAGACCAAATGCTTGGACATTTGACTTGAGGATTAACAAACTGGTGTTGAGATTGTAAGAAGCTGGTGCAGAAATATCATTATATTGCTTGTAAACACAAAGCCAAAGCCTTGGAAACGGAGTGGAAACTGAATCAGTGGCATTTTTGCATCTGAGCTCACAGTCTAGCCCTTGATAACAGCCTTGTGGCTTGTTGGGCTTTCTTTTCCAGCCAAACAAACTAAAAACAAGTAACTATGTTCTGACAAAAACTCCTACTTAAATAGTTTTAGATGAATAAAAATTATAATATGTCAAAGATTATAGAAGTTTCCAAGGAGCAAATAGTAGGCATATTTTACAGCATGGCATAGAACAAAACAGATGAAATGTGAATCTGTTATCTACATGAAGTAGTGTGTTCAGCTCTCTCTGCAAAACTGTGTTAGCCTTGAAAATCAAGCAACATTTGTGGTGGTTTTGGGAGGTCAGAAACTAAGGACACTAAATCTTATTCATGTGCGTGCAAGCTACATTTAGGAGAATATACATAAATTTATAGTACACCAAAATGCAACATCTAAACAAACATTGGCAGCTTGTCTTTTAAAATTTGACATTACTAACTTAGATATATCATTATAGATGCTTAAATTTATTAACATATATTAATATCATTTTCAAATGTAGAGCCGTTGTTGTGTAGATTAATATCATGACAGGGAAATTATATTTTATAGAAATTATTGAAATTATTGAGTCAATTAGCTTTTTTCCTAGCTCTCAAAGCCAAAAATTAAAATGTTAAAGTTGGCTGCTTCTCTTCAAGTATATCTGAATTTATTTAAGGTTAAATAAAGGCAATATTTTCTGATAGTGGTTAGTGGTATCACATAGATATTCCCAGTGACATCCGTATGCTATCTCAGAGATGTTTTACATATTGGGTGATTGTCAACCTGCATACATATCTAGAAAACCAGAAAAATTTCTTTAGATCTCAACGATAACAAAACTACAGGGAAATGAACCCTAGCCAAGACTGGCACATATAGACATTGTAACCTGAGGATGGATGCTAACTAGAAATCACTAATAAAATGTTCATTCGGTAACATATCTTTTGCAACCATCAGTCCTAAATACATGTAACTTGAAGTTTAGATATCATGCCTGATAGTGGTTGGAAATTCTACTATACCTGCTCTTCATGCAAGAAACCTCACGCTCTGTTTGCTTGTAAAATAGTTGTGGGATAATAAATTTGGACATTTTGCAATATATACAGAGTTACATATATTTATCATTATCTTCAGCAGGAGCCTGTGAGGTTGCATAATGTAAGTACAGTGACTTGGCTGATGATGTGCAAAAGGATGAGTATCTGTACAGTAAAGACTACGATGTGGTGTGTTTATGGAGATGAGAGATGTAATGCACACATGGACACAAGGCATAGTTAACACCATGGAATATAGAAGGATGTTTCTCTTCATATGGCCATCCCACCCCGTCGTCACCTCGTCCCATCTGGCTTGATGTGAATCTGCAGCACAGAAACAAACAAATGGTCATAACTAATTGATAAATCTCTCATTCGCTGGTAAAAACTGCATGCTTCCTTCTTCATTGGGTGATAAAATATATGCAAAAGCTGTGTTAATTCATGATGGCCAACTGCACAGAACATTCTGCTTCAATTGGACACATTAAATTCCAGTAGAAAGTTTAATAAGTAAGATTTTAAGGTCATTTTATAGTGGGACATAACCAGCAAGACACATTTCCCGAGGAACATAGTACAAGCTGCAGAACACCATTTTGGCAGTTGAAAACAAGATAGGTATTAGTAATTGTTGATAAAGGGTTGATAAAGTGTTGTATGTAATAAGACGTTACTGACCTCACTGAGAATGACCCAAGCCTTCCCATCTGACAGACACCTCAGTCTGAGCTGCCTGACTCTGCCTATACTTTTGTCAGGTTCCCCCTCTGCTACACCAGCTGCATTGAACTGGCCGATCTAGGGGAAACAAATCAGTCAAAACATAATTAATCATAAAGATGATTAATTGTATCCCTGTTTTTATTCATAATCACGAGGACATAATCACGAGAATCAGCTGAGTCCTGTACTCCGTAATATTGGGGTTCAAGCCTCTGAAATGTCCAACATCTTGACATTCAAGCGATCGCTTGTGAGAGCCACGTTTATGAGATTTGACACCCAGTTCAATATCGACGTCCCCTGCTCCTGGTCCACATCTTGTGGTTGTGCCTCATGCACTGCTTTAAGGCTGCATTAGTATCATAATTAGCTTTTTACTATGTACATAATGATATTTGATAATTTTTGTACATAATCAATTCTGTGTATAATTTTAACCGAATTGCATATTTCATGTCTACTGATTTTTGATGTCTAATATTTATTGTTTGACTTGGTGTCGTATTGTATTGTTTTGTATCATCATTTCAGGTTTGGGGGGACAACTTGTAAAGGCGTTGATACACCTGTTTTGTCCTCCCTTCCACTTGTTTTTGCATGTGGTAAATTCAAATAAAGAAATAAAGAAATAAAGGACAGAATTGTACACAGATTACTGTCAGACTCAAATTCATCTTAATAGTTGATGTTTGATGTCATAATTCACATAGCCCAAATCCACCTTACACTAGAGCCACCTTGTAGACTGTCAAAGTACTGCAGCACATCTGTATCACAGTTGTTACATATACATATATCAAGTGAATTGCTAACATTCTAAAGTGAACCCCCTGATTTGTTCACGTAATAATTTACAATTCAGAAAGAAAGATTATATGCTATTTACCTGTATGAATCCATCATCTAGTCTAATCATCCCAGTTTTTGTGTTGTCTTCCTTGTTGTCCTGTAAAATCCCGCCCTCTTTCTGCTCGTGATTTTCCGGCAGCACGTCGACTGTTGTGTTGATGAGCTTGTCCCCGGGGTGCTCTGTGTTACCGCTGGAAAACTTATATCTGAAATGTCCAGATCACATCTCTTAGGGTTGTGTGCTACCAATAAGCAAACAAGAGAGAAGTCCAGCTCTAATATTTGAAACATTGTAGTTGCCTGTTTTACATGGTATTGTCAATATGATAATGTATATTATCTTTAACAATTGTAGGCAATGTACATGTAGGCAGTGACAGAAACATTTCTCAACACCATTCTATGAATCAAATAGTAAATAAATCAACCTCATATCAAATACACATTGACTAAATCTGCCAGTTCATCTAATGATGCCAACATTGCCAAGTGTCTGTTATGATATGAAGGACTATATCCTAAGGCAAGCAATGGCCTTCTGTACATGGTATTTCAATACACACAAAAATGGGACAGCCCACAGAAATGATCCCAAAAATATTTTCAGGTCCTTTTACAGGTGAAAGCTACTTTCACGTTTGCCTCAGAAAATACATCCTAAACTCAGAGTAACCTCACAAAAGAATGTCCTTACTTTTCTATGACTATAGGGCTGTGGAAGGAGAACACGATGGTGTCCCCCTTGGTTGGAGTGAGCCCCCAGAAGAAGTTCTCTCCCAGGTAGCACTTCTCTAAGGTGTACTTCTGGTACACCTCCAGTGTTGTGGACACATCTGCTGGGGGGTTGGTGTGTGCTCTGTGGAGGGGCTGCTTCCCAAAGTCTTTATCCTACAAGAAACAATAATGTTAACATTGTTGAAAATTCAGCTACACGTACCAGTAACATGGTTGGTGATATACTTAAAGGGCAGTTGTCATTGTGTTGTGGATATGTGTATGTATTGTATTAGCCTGGAGTCTAGCCTTCTTAGCCTTGGTCCACTCCCCGAGATCTGCTACCTCACCAACATAATAGTTCTGCACCAACAACCTCAGCACCATCGTTGGCAGTTTAACGGATCTTGGGGAGCTGACCAAAGCTAACAGGGCTGCAATTCAGGCTAGTGTTATATGTATGTCAGAAAAAAGAGAATTCTCTTGAGTATAATATATTGAAATTAAGATAACATAAGTGTCTAGATTCTACACACTAATGTTATCGTCATTTCAATGGTTTGTTGGATTTGTATGTCTGATGTGAAATGTGTCATACATGTACGTTTGCTGTGGGGGTGGTGTGTGCACTGAGTAGGGCTTTCCGGATCCGGAACGGGGGTCCTAAGTCAAAGTATGGATCCTAGACACAAAAAACAATGGAGCCACCATGAATTGGTTGAATGGTGACATTGACATGGAATACTGTATTTGTAGGAAAATATTAATCTTTAAAGCAAAATGGTTGACTGTCATTGTTAAGGATATGTATGATTATGTATTCTGTATTGTATGTATGTCAGAAGAGAATGATCTAGAAACTACATGTATCTTTATTTTGATATAACTGTTTGATTGGTGTGTAAAAATGCAAAATATGTCAAGATCATGACATCAAGATACATTTTGATCATAAAAGCCAATCTTCCAAGCAACAAATATCAAACAAAACACTGTCACTGCACTTTTAACCCCCCAATACAGTACTTTCTATTCTTTCTTTGACATGTACTGTGTGATGTACAGTGACTCTGTATCTATTTCAGCAAAGCCTTCACCCTTCCCAGATGCCTCATGGCTAGGTTGAAGAAAATGAGAGCCGTAATATAGATTTGAATTAAGAGCAGTCTGCCACCGTAAGAAAGCTTCCATCCAAAGCCGTCAATCTTCAATAGTTTTTGTATTTATGACTTCGCGAAAGTCAATGTTTTATCAGGTTCATATGAAAGAGGGTATTTTCAAGCTAGACATGGATAAAAAGCTCTCAAAAGATCCTTTTGAAATTTTACGCCATATAGAAAGCCAATGGTTTTTAGGTATGAATCTCCTAATTTCACCAATTTCTAGATTGACATGATACGTTTGATGTTAAGAATGACATATTACACTTACATGTACAGTACTATTGAAAAAGGCATGTTAATCAATTTGTACTATAGCTTTCCTGTCCAATTATGTAGCTTTACTGTCCAATTATGTACTACATACATGGGGTTGACATTGCAAAGACTACAGCACAGTCATGGATGGAAAGAAAAGAAGCCATACTCACTTTTAGTTTTTGTATTTTTCCTTTTAATGAAGAGAATGTGCCTATGTGCTGGAACAACGAGGGCTTGAAGCGAACCCTCAGTGCACTTTTCATTCTATCACAGTGTTTCTGAAAAAAAAAAAGAATGCGTAAGAAAACAGTTCCACAGCTTCTAATCATACACAAAGTTACTTTCAGTTCTCTATGATGGATATATCTAGATCAGTAGGTGTACCAAAAGCATAAAGCCAGCCAAGAAAGTATTAATAACAGACTTGCAGTAACAAGGCATAAGATTTCCTCGATGATTCAGATGTTACAGTAATGCGTTTAATTTATAGAATGGTCCATTAATAAACAAAATGGGGCAATGGAGGAAAGATAGCAGTATATACAATGTAATATTTCCCTTGTCATGTGTCAAATCGGAATGACTGTACATACGGATTAATTCAATTGACTACATTGTGTAACATACATCTCTTTTTATCAAACAAAAACACAAGTCGGTTACAGTTGGATAATTACTTTTTCAGTCCCAACAGTTGCCTCCATATTCCATTCAATCATGTAAGATGCTGTTTAACTATAGATCACACTGGAGCGGTGCCAGCGATCAATAAGACAGAGAGAACTGGTCATCATTCAGCAGTCATTCAACAGGTCCTGCTTTTCATTTGTCTGTCTTTAATGCAGCAGGCATAATGGCTGAGTGTTGTTTAAGGTGCAGGAACATTTGTCATATAGTTATACATGCACCACCCCTGTAGGTGTGTAAGTGGAGATGGATTTTTGCAAACTGTACTATTCGTTAGCATCTGCAATACATTGACTAGTCAATTGAAATGGTTTCTACAACTAGTTACAACTTTGAACCATGGTTTCCTAAATCTCCTTTTCAGACAGAGTGGTGCAAGTATGATTTGGCTTGTGCCAGGTAACCTTACATGTTACTAGTAAGTGCACCAGTGCAGGTACATGTATGCAGAAAAAAAACCCAGCTGGACTCTTCACAACTTGACATAGTACATGGTTAATTTCTGTATCACTAGAAGGTTTTATAATATACTCACATTATCTTTTTCTGGATGGCAGGCTTTTACAAAAAATATGTGGTCCAGCAGCCAGTCGATGGGTTTGTCTTTGTGAAACATGAGGAAGAACTCCACAACCAGGCTCAGATCGGAAGACTTGAACAGTTTACCTGGACAGAGAAGGTTTAACAAAACTCCTGTTAAACAAGAATTTCATCTGAGGACCTTATATTTCCTCTCTTTATAACCATTCTAGTAAATGGTATCCAGTTTAAAGGCTGTTGAATAATAAATATTCACATTACTGTCTGAAATATGCAGCAAACTTAAAGCCAATGGTTAGGGATAGGGAACAAAAATTCAAACTGGATGCTACATTGTTAACTAAAGCCTAAGCGGCTATTCCGAGATCAGGGTGCGCCAAAGGGTTGCACTTGGGCCAATTTTTCAAGTTTTATATTTTTCTACTTTCAGTGCAGAAAATCGCACTAGAGGTGTTGCCATACATTGCACTTTTTAAATTTTTGGATAGAGACGTTCAGTTCAAAAGTTGTGCTCTATCCAAACTTAGCCCACTCATTTCAGATGTGGTCAGCAACGGACACTACAGCTAAGCTGTAGTGTCCGTTGCCGGCCACATCTGGCCGCTCAAGTAGATGACAAGAACACCAAATCTTGCAAGACCTGTCATTTAGGGGTTGACAAAATGCTACAGAAATAACATAAATGACAAAATTACTTCAAAATTGCAACAAAATGTAATTAATGTACCTATATGGTATACTTGGCAACGGACACTACATGGCAACGGACACTACACCCTTGAGGTTTTTTGACATTATTTCATATAATTACAGCAATAGACTGAAATAGCTACTGTGTTTTAAGTCAGCATCTTCAGCTGTTTCAAAACCTGAAATCATATGCACCCACAACTTTTCTATTTTAAGTTATTACCGAGCAACGGACACTACACATTTTCTCGGACAAAAAAGACAGGTAACTGTAAGCCATCAGCCATATTAACCCAAAGGACAAGCAACATAAAAACACATGTTTTGTGTCATATATGGATGTACCTTGCATAACATGCAAAATGGCCAGTTCTATCACCATCCTTTTTAGTACAGGGAGATAAGTTTTTTTTTTTTTTTTT